AACATTGCAACAGTGATCTCGCTTCTTTGACGTTTTGTTGGTTCCCAAAACTTACCCAAGCTCCGTGTGGAGGAAGTGAAGTGTAATGGTGGTGTGCAATGGTTGTTATGGCTGGCTGAGGTGAAGGCATTTGGTGGTGACTTGGAGGGTGGGGTTGTTGGTGATGGTGTTGCTGGAGGTGTAGAAGTGGGAGGTGGGTTAATTATTTTGGTCAAAAGAGAGGGATGAAGCTTTGTATCATTGAGAGTGGGTCTCACGGTGCACGATAAGTGAATTTGTTTTTTGGGTGATTGGGAACTATGTTTATAAAACACGAAAAATTCTTATTCTAATTCAAACACACACTAAATATTTATAATTTACAAAATAGGCCTCTACTATTTATGATTTACAAAATAGGCCTCCACTATTCCTGCACTTCAGAACTGACCGCACATTAAACATTCATAATTTACATCCAATTTTATAATTTTATTATATAATCATCCGATTTACAAAATACCAACCTGTGACAAACTATATATAATACATACTGGCTTCAAGGCCGTCATTGAAAACAGCACAGCCACATAAATATCACGAAAATGAATAACAACCATACATGCAATAAAACACAATATATAATGATCTATGGAACAGGTTCAAACCATCAAGAAAATGGAATAACCTCTATGCCAGTTAAACCTCCCATATTAATCAAATCGACGGAGCTTTCTCTCCCGTGGTAGGCAAGGGGCAAGAAACCGTGGCAGAGCTTTCCAGTTTCTCTTGAGAATGTCGTAGGTAGAGTCCAGAAATGAGACGTAAAGACGGAATTGCATTATTGTAAATACCAAGACAGGAAGAAATGAAGCAACGGAAAGGAGTAATGTTGTTAAGTTTGTCCCTGATTGAACGAGTATTAAAATTGTTGACCCAAAGGATAGCATGCTCGTCATCATTGATAAAAAGAGGAAGGTGAAGCCAACGGTAAGTTTTCGAGGATGAGCGATGTGGAAATCTTGCAGCTCAAATCGAGAGGTCAACAAAGAGAGAAACACCGTAAGTGAAGTCAAGGAGAATGCTAGGGAGTCAACATCCGCAACAGCGAAAGTCAGAAAATAGGGAGATTTGATGAGATTGGGCTTGCCATTCTCATCAGAACCGCCAGGCACAGTATAGGCAGCGGCAAAGACAAAAGTAGCAACAAGTGCAGCTACTGTGGAACAAGACTAAGTTGTTTCCTTGATCCACGTTCGTGCACTGTTCAGTTGCTCCTTGTGCTGCTCGTAGAAGAGTTCTCTTGCAGTCATGCCATCCTCGTTCCGAAGCGTGACATAATGAGAAGGAATTACCTCCCTAACTTGCTGCAATAATTGGGAGATAAACATGATCATTATAAGGAGTTCTAAATCAAACTAAATATTATAGAAATGAAATTACTAGAGTGCAGATAATATTTTAATTGCGAACAATAGTTAAGTTTTCCTCAAACTAGTTGGTTCATGTGGTAAGGAGAACTCGTTCAGCCTGATGTCTTAATCAGGTTCGACATATACGTTAATTGTATTGGATAATATGATTGAAACAAATATTTTGATAGGGTGGTGTTCTTATACACAAGATGTATAAGATGGTACAAAGTTCATGAATAATTTTTATCAGGAGGTAAAGACAAGGGATGAGAAGGTCTCACCTCAAACCATTGCAACTCATCCTGAAGTTGATGTGCAGGTCCAGGCTTGGTTCCTCCTCTGTAATGCTCCATATCTGCAACATGGTGCAGCAATGTGTTGCCCTTCTTATCAACAACTCGATGCAGTCTAGCCAATGGTATTTTCTGATGCACCAATGTGTTGCCCTTCAATGATGAGTTCGTTTCAGAAGTTTCTGTTGTATAATGAAGTTGGATTTCTACTGTATCTTTTCCTTTGCTAGTGAACTCAGAGAACTGGTTTTTTCCCTTTTCTATATTCTTTCCCACCCAGTCCTTCCTCTGTTATGCTGACTTTATTCAATGACTCGTCTTTCTTTATTAGGATTTCGCCGAGCCTCAAAGCAAATACATGCATTCTTTTCTGGTTCCAGAATCCTTCTAGCCAACATCCTACTTCATGTTCATACGAAGGGGAACGAAATTAAACATGGATCGATGAGAGGTAGCCATTTTTAAGAAACAGAAAGAAATGTTAACAATGATAGTAGAAGGATGAACAAAAAAAATTTCATGATTGTAGAAGGTGAAAAAATAGAGACATGGTAAAGGTGAAAACAGATAATGATTGTCTGGTTTTTAACCTTTATATCAGCAATTCTCTTTGCTTTCATGCCTTATACTTATATTGGGTAGTCAAAAACTATATGACTAACTTTCCGTTATTAATAATAGTCTCTCTCGTTTATAAAAAATTTGTAGAAGACAAAACAACACCAACATAATTAAAAGAAGTAATCGTACGTAGCTAGAAGAAATGAATCTAAATCGTGCAACCATAAAAGCGAGCCTGATAATTTTTTTTGTTGTTTGATATTTACAGAGAGTTTATGTAGTTCTTTAGGAAGAGGCTCTATATCTGATGACTCCCATGAATTATTTGCATAAGCTTCAAAAAACAGGGTGTGAACCAAAACCTCTTGTTAAGTTAATGAAGATGTAACACTGAATCCCATTTTTCCAAGTTCAAGCATATAAGGATTATTCGTTTAAATGCACCTTTTTAAATAACAATGAGATGGTGCTCAATCGGTTAGTCCTACAACTGTCTTTTGCTGAAACTGTTAAGTTAATTGAAAAAATGAGTGTTAGGATTCGGATAGGTTATCAATTCTTATTAAAATGATATTTGTTTTTGTATTTTAAAAATATTTTTTGAAAAAAATTATTTGTTTCTAATAAAATATTTTTTAGTGTTTTTAGATTATTTTGATATGCTAAAATAAAAATAAATAAATAAATAAAATATTATTTCAATATATTAAAAAAAACACTTTAAAAAATAATTACTACTATAATACCAACAGAATTTAAAATTCTAATATCAAAAGCTAGAATTCTAGTTCATGAATGTTTATTTTTAAAGTTATAATATCAATTTAAAAATCATTTCAATAAAAAAAAATTAAGTTACTAATTAATACTTACAAGGGAACAACTACAAAAGGTCGTTGTATCTCTACTCACGTCATCATATTAAAATCTGCAACGTGATAGATCATTACTTATCATTTTCGACGCCGCAAACTGGAAATACAACACTTGTAAACTTTGTTCGAGCCATGAAATTTTAATATCGATATACAAATTAAGGTAGCTCAATATATAATACCACCTAGCCTTGAAACCAAAAGAACGGGCCTCAATTGTGTTCCATACCTTCAGGGACTTTTAAATATTTGAGTATGCCGCCTCTTGGTTTCCTCTCCAGCATCTTTCTTTCCTTCAACCAAGTTTCTACCTGTGATTTTACCTTGTGGTCACGTTTAACAGGAAGGCCTGCAACATAATATAGAGTTCAATTTATATGTGTGTGTGCATACACATATATACATATAAGTGTGTGTGTGTGTCCATGGTATACATACAAGAAATATGTAGGCAATATTGTAAGGTCTAATAATGTGGTTAGTGTAGGCATACAGCAGTAGATGAGTCTTTCACATATGTCCATGGGAAATCCACTCTCAAAAGCGGTTGGCATTTGGGCTAGAAGTTGAAGAGCAGTTACGCCGTCTTTGTCCTTCAACTTGTGGAGCGAGTCATCCAGTTCTAGCAACAGTAAAGCTGTTTCTGCATTCATGAAATTAGGCATAGAATAATTATACGATATCTTATATATGTATACTTTTAAATTCCATAATTTGACAGAGATAAATTGTTACCAAAGTGTTGCCCTCTGATTGCAGCGCTAAGGATAGACAGGCCATCCGTTCTCTTGCGGTGAATTGATAATATGCGGCAATTATCATGCACGCATTTTTCTGGTTTGGATGTGATTAAAAACTCCACTATTTCTGTCTCAGCAAATCCAGCAGCTGTAAACAATGGGGTTTCACCGTAGTTATTTTTTCCCTTAAGGACAACGTTCTACCAAGAGCCTTGCAGCCTCATAATTCCCGTAGATGGTTGCCTCATGAAGAGCCGTATTTCCAAATTTGTTTTTTCTCTTCTGAAATTGAATCTCAGCTACTCGGGACTCTGTCTCAGGTACAGGGGACTCTATCTCAAGTTCAAAGGGTTCTGTCTCATCATGTACAAGGAATTCTGCCTCACCAGGTACATCGAATTGTAAATCCTTCACGATTTCAAGTAAATCTTTAAGTGGTTGCTCTTGTTTGCTGTACATAGCTATATGAAGTGCAGTATCCGCAGAGAGCGTAACCGGGAAGGGCACATCTAGGACACGTTCCTGATAATGCTCAAGCATGCTTTTCCAATTTCCACTCATGGCTGCTCTATAAGGTATCCCCATTATAGGAAGAGAATCCATATTTTTGTTAGGATGCTGGCATGCAAATCCGACAAGATAAAAGATAAGAGACAAGAGAAAATAAGAAATAGAACACACAAGAATTTACGTGGTTCACCCAATTGGGCTCTGTCCACAGACAAGTATAGAAGGATTTTACTAAGTAATGTGAGAATTACAACCTCTCTCAAATAATAGGAGAACAACTAAGAATCTCTCTATTATTAGAAGAAAACACCTCACTTACTCTATCACAAATACCTCACAATTTTGTGGGATTACTCTCTCTTCACTCTCTTCTTCTTCTCTCTATTTTGGCGTGCATAAAGGCTTGAATGCATTGCCTATTTATAGGCAAGAGTGAGGGTATAATGGTCATAAATTTAGGAGGAATATATGCCTAACAACTCATCCTCCACTCATACTCCATTAATTATACCAACTCATCCTCCACTCATACTCCACCAATTACAACTCATCTCCCACTCAAATCCCATTAATTATGCCACCTAATTAAATGACTTTACATTCTCTCACTTGAAGACTTTGATGATTTAATCAAGTCTTCACACTTGATTATCTGTGATTCTTCTTCTATCCTTTCTATACTTGTCATCTTCATGTTGTTTACGTTTCTGTTAGGCCATAAGAGGATCTGCACCACATATACTTATCAGTGTTGACCGGTTTGGTCAAAGCATCTGCTGGGTTTTCCTTTGTGTGAATCTTCTGAAAATCCACACTTCCATCTTCCACCACTTCACGAACAAAGTGATACTGAACATCTATGTGTTTTGTTCTTGAATGAAATGCTGGATTCCTTGCAATATGCAAAGCACTTTGACTATCACAATACAAAAGAATATTCTCTTGTTTGTGCCCGAGCTCCTCCATAAGTTTCTTCATCCATATTGCTTCTTTACAAGCTTGTGTAGCTGCCATGTACTCAGCTTCTGTTGTGGACAAAGCTACAACAGTCTGAAGTTTAGAAACCCAGCTCACAGCTCCTCCTGCAATTATGAACACATAGCCTGTAGTGTATTTTCTTTTCTCAAGGTCACCAGCAAAATCTGAGTCAACATAACCTTCGATCGTAAATTCTAATCCTCCATAACATAATGCAACATCTGAGGTATCCTTGATGTATCTCAAGATCCTCTTAATAGTATTCCAATGCTCTCTACCTGGATTTGCCATGTATCGACTAGCTGATGCATACGGTACTCGAGACATCTCCATCCTCTCTGCTTCATTGCTAGTAGACATACTTGAGGATAATTTGAAATTAATAGGAAGTGGGGTAGAAATTGGCTTGCAATCTTGCATGTTGAAGCGTCGCAAGATTTTCTTCAAATAATTCTTCTGAGAAAGCCAAATCTTCCTCTTACTTCTGTCTCGGTGAATTTGCATCCCTAGAATCTTATTTGCTGGTCTCGAGTCCTTCATATCAAACTCCCTAGCTAACTGTGCCTTCAATTCTTGGACTCGATCTTTGTTGGGGCCTATCACCAACATGTCATCCACGTACAACAACAAAATGATGAAATCTTCTTCAAACCTCTTATAATACGTACAATGGTCTGAACTGAGTCTGTTGTACCCAAGGCTAATTATGAAGGAATCAAATCTCTTGTACCAACATCTCGGCGCCTGCTTGAAACCGTATAGAGATTTGTTCAACCTGTAAACCAAGTTCTCCTTGCCTATTTCAGCAAAACCCTTTGGTTGGAGCATATAAATTTCTTCTTCAAGTTCTTTATGAAGAAATGCAGTTTTCACGTCTAACTGCTCCAAGTGAAGATCAAATATAGCACACATTGTTAAGACTACTCTAATTGTCGTAAGTCGTACCACTGGAGAAAATATCTCATTGAAGTTTATTCCTTCTTTCTGAGCATATCCTTTCACCACTAATCTTGCATGATACCGCTCCACTTGATCATTGCCATCACGTTTTATCTTGTAAACCCATTTGTTGTCAATGGCCTTTCTTCCTTGTGGTAGCGGAACAAGATCCCAAGTATTATTCTTGTGCAGAGCTTCAATCTCCTCTTGCATTGCTGTCATCCACATAGATACATCTGTGTTTTTAATAGCCTCATGGAAAGTTGATGGCTCTCCATCCTCTGTTAGAAGACAGTATGCAATGTTACTTTCAGTAACATATTCTCAGTGCCAAGTTGGTGGTCTTCTTTCACGAGTCGACCGCCGAACTTCAAGAGTTTCAGACTCTATTTGTTCTTGCTCTTCATGCTCTGGTACAGCTTCAGAAGAAACATGATTTTGAGTATTTTCCACATGGACTGCTGTAGTCTCCTTTAGAATGCTATTATGCTCTTCCATTTGCATTTTACCTTCTGCAAATATGACATCTCTGCTGATAACTACCTTATGGGCAGTGGGATCCCACAAGCGATACCCCTTCACTCCATCAGTATATCCCAAGAATACACATTTTCTGGATTTTGAATCCAGCTTGCTAACTTCTTGTGTATTGTACATCACGTACACAGGACTTCCAAATATATGCAATCGAGAATAATCAGCTGGTTTTCCGGTCCACATCTCCATCGGTGTCTTCAGCTCAATTGTAGTTGATGGAGATCGATTTATCACATAACAGGCGGTATTGACTGCTTCTACCCAGAATGACTTTCTTAGACCTGCAGCCTTCAATATTGCTCTTGTTCTTTCTAATAGAGTTTTGTTCATCCGCTCTGCCACTCCATTTTGTTGTGGAGTGTATGCCGTTGTGAACTGCCTTTTGATACCTTCATGTTGACAGAAGTTATCAAATTCATCACTGATATATTCTCCTCCATTGTCAGTCCTCAAACACTTGATCTTCTTTTCAGATTCAAGTTCCACCCGCGCTTTGAAAGTTTTAAAGACTGTAAGCACATCTGTCTTTCTTCTAATTGGATACACCCAACATCTCCTGGAGAAGTCATTTATGAATGATACAAAGTATCTTGCTCCTCCCAAGGATACAACTAGTGCTTGCCAAGCATCAGAGTGAATTAGGTCTAAGATGCATTTGCTCTTAGTTGTTGATGTGTCAAACTTCAACCTGTGCTGTTTACTTGTAACACAATGCTCACAAAAAGGTAAAGTAACCTTTGTAAGCCCAGGGAGTAACTTCTGATCAGAGAGAACCTTTAAACCTTTCTCTGACATGTGACCTAGTTTTTGATGTCACATCATCGTCTTCTCTTCTGCAGGACTGACTGATGCGATTGACGCTTCTGCCTCATAATGTGTTTCTCCCATTAATGCAAATATATTTGCAACTGTCTTTCTTGCCTTTAAAACCACCAGTGCTCCTTTGATGATTTTCATGATTCCATTGTTTGTTCGGATCTTACAGCCAAGACTATCAAATTGTCCTATGGACAAAAGATTATTCTTTAAGTCTTTCACATGTCGCACTTCTGAAATAGTACGAATTAAGCCATCATACATCTTCAATTTGATGGTGCCAATGCCAACAATCTCTAAAGCATGATTATCACCCATAAACACTTTGCCTCCAGAGATAGGTTTATATGTATGGAACCAATCTCGATGAGGAGTCATATGCCATGTTGCTCCTGAATCCATTAGCCAGACCTTAGTGAGCTCTTCTGTATCTGTAGAGATTGTTGCTGCTTCACTATATAAAACATCTCCATCTTCTAAGGTGCTCGCAACACACCCTTGAGATTTGATAACTCTGCAGTATTCTCTATACCCTTTTTAAACCAACAATCCTTTTTGAAGTGCCCCTTTTTGCCACAGTTGTAGCATTTCACAGTCTTCTTACTTCTTGATTTGGACCTCCCCTGCCGTTGACTCCCACTAGAGCCACGCTCCGTTGATCTTCCTCTTGACATCAACAACGCCTCTGCTTGGTTTGAACTGTTTCTGTCTCCTTTGTTTTTGCGCTTATTTTCTTCTTCCAAGATAATGGCTGCAACATCATCGAAGACTAAATAATTTGAGAGGATATTATTGGTCAAGTTGATAATAAGTTGATCATATGAATCAGGAAGACTTTGAAGTAGAAGCTCTACACGTTCATTTTCCTCTATTTGATGACCCAACGTAGTGAGTTGTGAAAATAGAGTTCTTATTGTGTTGATGTGGTCATTCACCGACGTGGTTTCTACCATTCGACGGGTATAAAGTCTCCGCTTTAAGAAAATCTTATTGTGCAAAGACTTGGACTCGTATAACTTTGATAGAGTCTCTCATATCTCCTTAGTTGTTTTCTTCTCTGCCACACTTGATAATACTTCATCGGCTAATGCTAAATGTATGTTAGCAATAGCATTGCCATCCATCTCATTCCATTTTGCATCATCAGTGATCTCCGCGGGTCGATCCCCAATTGCTGCCAAGCAATTGTCTTTCCTTAAAATTGCCTTGATTCTCATTTTCCACAGTGAGAAATTGCTCCCATTAAATCTCTCAATCTCGTACTTTGCTGCCATTGTATTCACCGAGATCTATTCAGCTATCACTATTTCACAGGTCTGTAACGTATATAAAAATAGTATCGTGTCAATAATACTTCATTAAGTAAGTTCCTAGGAAAGATTGGAGGGGTCACAAACAGTCCCGTTT